GAGAACTTTGAACAAAGGCTGGAAAGAATTAGGCAGCGTAGTTATCTTGCCGGAGATTGAAAATTTCATTTATTCTGAACAAGCGGTTCAAGTTTTGCGCTGAAAATGTTTGCCTAGTCACTATTTAAAAAGGTAATTAAGCAACTTTTATTAATTTCATAGCTTAGCTGAGCAGAACAATATTCTGACAGGCTCTATATGGCCCAGAACAACACTGCGCTCATTGGAGACACGAAGCGCTTATGAATAATTTTTACTTGGTGGCTTATAGCTGTAACACAGTGTGTAATAACCTTTTACAATGCTTTGTCTCCGCTCAGCCGGCAGTACAGCGATGTTTCACGTAAATCTTAGCGTAAATCGGCAAAGCTATGAGACAAGGTAGATAATTCTAGCAAAATTTCAAAAATTCTTGGTAACTTCAAGTGGACTGAATGAGATATGTTGGGGGAGGTATGCTTCTAATAATCCTAATGAAGTGGATGTTCTTGAGTTGGTGGTATGTTAAGGCTATGAAAAATTCTTCGGAATAAATTCACTGCTTGAGACATTTCTACCATAGTTGCCTTTTATGGCTGCGCAACTGCACTGTTGCAGTAGAGTGTACTAGAACAAGAGAGGGCCGAGAAGATACTTCGAAAATGGAAGCCCTATCTGGATCCATTCCCTTGCGGTGCTCAAGTGCGTAGTCTGCAATGTGTTGTTTTTTTTTTAAGACTTGGGCGTGGCTCTGCCAAAGTGGTGCTATGGTAGAATGCTCACTTCCCGCTCGAAAGGCTCGCGTTAAATTTGAAGCTGTTCAGTTTTTAGTTCTTTAGTGTAACTCCTAATAGCTGCATTGTTTTTTTTTCTTGTTTCTTGAAAGTATCGTTAGTTGGCACGTATTGGTACAAAAAGTAACTCAATATGACAAGTGAAATGCAGTAAATTTGACACTGAGCGTAATTATTTGTAGCGTCAACGCACAGCATTCAACAAAAACTTAAAATATAGCCCTGCGACGTTTCTCATAAATGCAGAGATCTCTGAGCGATACTTTGCAGTTTTGTTGAATGCCGTACGGTGGCGTTGCAAATAATTATGCTCACTGTCAGATTTCTACTAAATTACTTCACATTTCAAATTACTTTTCGTTGCATTGAGTACCAATTGAAGATGGTTTTTAAGAAACAAAGAAAAACAATAAATGCATATAGACCCAGGACGCCATGCTCACCTCTTTCGATCACAGAAAGCACAAGGCCATCCTCGAGGCTCTCTGCGCACTGGTTCTGGACGAGAAGCTTTTCAGCATAGTCAAGTCGTTTCTTGGCAGTAGACAAACGAGCCTTTCACTAGGAGAACTAAATTGTAAAGTGATGACCCTGGAAACAAAGGCACCCCACAAGAATCTGTTCTCTTACCCATGTTTTTGAGTGTAGCAATGACCATAATTGTGAGGGAATCGGAGTTGATAGAAGGTACACACTTCGTAATATATGCCGACGATATAATCATAAGGATCGCCAACGGAAACATAGGCTAAACGGAGATTAGGCTTTGTGAAAAAACATCGTGGAAAGCACTCCCAATGAATTGGGACTAAATTGTTCGGTGGTGAAGTCAGAACTTTTGGTCCTAAAGCATCAAGTTAACGGTCCCAGACTGTAGAGTAATGTGCCAGGTGGGGAACCCAAGATGATCTCTTGCGTTCTCTCGATGAATCCGCGATCAAGCCGGTCGCAAAAAATTAAAGAAGCACTAATATCAAATTTACTCCTGCCAAGATTTTTGCGTTAACGCGTTGCTATAGACCTCGTAGCAGCGATTCGCGACATAAATTGTAACTTAGGAATGTATAACTATCAATTTATTGATATATATCACTGGTATGTAGCACAATTCAAAACGGACGGGAAAGCCGCCGTTTTTAGCGCTGGGATCACTACCAATGTCGCTACCTCACGGCCACCTCTAGATCGCGCCACAGCTGACCACTTCTCCACAGAAGTGAATGACGTCAGGCTCAGCTGCTCTGCAAACATTTTGTCTGCTAGGGGGACGCATAAAGTCATGCCTTGCCACCTGCATTGCCGTCATCGCCTTACAAATTGTCGATTCGGGTTCAGTACGATAGTATGAAACTTGGAATTCTCGCGATTCTTGACTTCGAGATTTATTTTTGCCTCGATCAACTGTTTACAGAACAGCGATTACGAAAAGGACGCTGTTCCAAGCAGCACAGCAGAGGTGCCCGAGGGTTCACGCTTCAGCCATGTTCTCTCGTGTGTCTCAGTTAGCTATATTGGTGTGTTTTGGCCTACACAGCATTCAGGTATGCGCAAGCGGGCCAATGGAAGATCGCTATCTCGGCATTGAGCATCAGCGGAGAAATAGAATACGTTCCCTGCTTCCCAGGTACTTCTTCGCGCCTCCGGATGGCCCCACCTATCAAGCCTCTCGCAGGTTGCGGCGGCCGTAACCCAGTATTACACGAACGCGAAGAAGTCTACAGACGAATTACAATTCAATGATCCCTGCGTGTTGCTAGTCAGCGATGCTACCTGTATATCCGCTGTTCCACTTCGATATTAGGGGTCGTGTGCGTGTAACATATACGTGACATAAAAAGACGCGTTCATTGCGCTTTTTCTGCGCTTCGAACAAGACAACTGCAACTTACATGCAACTCACAACGGTTCCCCGACATGCTGACCGACAAGCACACGTTTAACTATGCTCTTTTTTGTCGCCGTTGTTTTAAAAATGGTTTCCATCTTCGTAATTTCATGAAATCGTTCAAACCGGCGCGACAAAGATCAGACGTGACGAGCGAGTGCGTTTCCAGGCTTCAGCGCCACTTGGCGCCACGATAAGAACACTCGCATTGTAGACGTCATCGCTACTAGCACATCGTCCCTCAGGAAGTTATGTGTGGAATGTATTACACGGAACACGTAGCACTAGTTTCAATGTCGTAGGGCACCCCATTTTCAAGAAACTTCCGTACGCCATTTACCATCAAAATAAAATAACTTTGATGAGACGGATTCAATTGAAATTTGGTCAACACGTCCTATGCACACTGAAAAATCACAAATGGCTCATCTCAATTTGGAAATTTGATGTCGGTGCTCCTTTGAAGTTTTAGGCTTCCACATAGAAGCTGGAAGTGACAAACCTATTGTCATTCAGAAATTCCTCATTCAGAAAACTGATGAAGTCCTCAGAATACTAAGGCAAATCAACAACCGACAGAGGTATCTTGGTGAGAACAGCGCTCTAAGGCTACAACCCACCTTTACCCTCTGTCGTTTTACCAACGCAACAGGTCTCTCCATTAGTCGTAGGCCAAGCTGAACAAACTCAACACTTTCACCAGAAAAGTATTCAAGGCTAAGGCTGCCCTAGGTATACTCAAACGTGTGTCGAACGAGAAACTCATATGGCGTGGCGTGCACAATACCATAAAAGAGATGGCGCAGTAGCAAAGACTAACAACGACACGGGCGGGTGGGCTGGAACTCAGAGCGATTTAGTCAGTCCCCAATATGATCCGAAGTAGAATTGAATGCGCAGCTTAGAAGTGTGATCAGAACTACTCCCCTGCCGAGAAACATGCATTCGGAACCCAATGTTAGCAGGCAAAGAGTGAGAGCAAAATCCCTATTGAAAGAGAGTGAACAAGTAGGACAACGTGCGGCCCTCGTAGACGCATCCTGAGTAAAAGGCAAGAAGGCCTACACGGCTGTTGTGGTCGACAGCCAGGTACAGGTACGGGATATCCTTGCTGGACTCACTAAGGGCTCCACGCTGGCGGAGCAAGCCGCGATTGCTTCTGCTATCAAGAACAGAAAATGGTCATGCATATTTGTAGTGACAGCAAAATATAAAATTACGCGCTTTGATTAGGGTGAAGTCGCTGGGACTATGGTTAAAGGTATGAACGAAGTCAATGCTCTCGATACCTTCATTCGATGGTAAGTTTCGTGCACATATGGGAGAAGTGGACGAGACTCAAGTCAACCTCCACGAGGTGATGAATGACCTGGCACGAGGAGTCAATCGCTCCCCGGTCAGACCTTAACCAATGCCCACTACCATTCATGCAGATCATAAGTATCATTTATTCACAAACCATGACATTTTAAAAGATAACTTGGGACGTAGAAAATTACCACAGCCACACATAAAGTTCAACAGCGCTTAGGCAGTCACGCTACGTTTACTTCAAATCGGAACTTACGCCACTCCATATTTTCTAAATAAAGATAACATATTTTCTAAATAAATTCAAGACGAGTCATCAGACACATGCTGTCTCAGTATCTGTCATTCAATCAGACACACATTGTCGGGCTATCCCTTGACTCTCGCTGACCCCGAAGAACAATGGCTATATTGGCAGAAGTGGGTGCATAGCGCGTCTTATTAAGACGAGGTGCGGTCAGTACAGATGGTCGACGATGATGCCAAAGGCCTGGCCTGATGGTGCCGATGTGGACGTGGCCCGCCTCGGCCTGAAAATGCTGAGCTTCAGGACACTAAAAAAGTTTTGTGAATAAATGAATGAATAAGAAGTTACACTAAGAAAAGAAAACTCAAAATCTACAGCTGTGATTGCGGCCCGGGCCTTACGAGTGGGAAGGATACATTGAACGCCTGCACTACTTTGACTGAACCAACCCTAACTACAGAACAGAAAAAGATTGCAGACTATACCGACCACATGCTACAAGTAGAATGACCCTGATTGGCCTTTTCTATGTGTACATTGGCGCAGCGGCTACAGGTCGGAACATTCCCCTTTTCTAGTAAACTCTAGTGGCAGCTTCTAAAAATAGTCACCGGCTCTGTGCGTGCGTGCGTTTGCGTGCGTGTGTTTTTGTGACGTTATCTCATTTGATCTGGGGTCCTGTAATGAATGCATCTATACTATCTCGTGAGCCTCAGAAGTGAAGATCTTCTGGAGAATAGCTGGCGTTGTATTGAGGTGCTATTTTATTTTAATATATTTTCAGGGCGCGCAAAACTGGGCACCGTCTGCACGAACCTGGGATTAGGCGAGGGCGAAGACAAACCTCACGGGTACCTCGGTGTTAACACCATTGCCCATGAACTTGGCCACACGTAAGTATATTTTAAAGCAACAAGCACGTTTTATACGAGTTGCGTTTTAGCCATGTCACGCCTCTCTTCTTTCTTTTCGCAGGTTAGGGGCTGAGCATGACGAAACCCCCGAGTGCCCCTGGAAAGAGGGATACCTAATGAGTTACGAGGATGGAGGATTAAAAAAATTCCGGCTTTCGCAGTGCAGCGAGAGAAGCATAAGGCAATACGTGAGGTCAGCAGAGCTGTGCGAATACTTTTCACTATCAGTGGCCACGTTTGCGTGACTAATGTAGTCGAAACATCAAAAGTATCTGCTCGCATAAACGAGTTTAGGGAGGTTTTGTGAATAGTGCCCTCACTGATAATTTTAGCCATAAAGTAAAAAGAAAACGCTGTAGTGTTCTTTTATATTGAAGCACTGCTAGGAGATCCTGAGAAAGTAGTACCTTCCTTGTGTGGCGGTGCTCAGCTGATAGATCAATGATTTAATTCTGAAGGGCAAAAAGTATTTTCAATCACGTTCCCTAAAGGATGAACAAGCTGTGCAAGTACAACGCACGCGGTAGAATAACAAGAAAACATTTTTCACTGTGATAAGGTATGCAATCGTACCTTAGGCAGTTTCCCTTAACTATAAACAGGGAAGAAAACACAAGGAACGTTCTGAAAGGACGCAGAAAACGTCAGTACTCTTTTCAGAATTTCGAAAATGCTGTGACAGCGACTTTCATCACAACACATAGGAAGCATATAGACTGGAAGGATGGAAGAATGAATGCTATGAGCATCCGCTTCTTAATGGGGCCATGGCATGCATGCAAGCAGGCCCGAAAAAAAAAGGAAATGAAAACTTTCTATGCTGGCCTAATGCCTTATGCACTTTAATTACCTCGATCCTGTTATTCGTGGTTCATCATCCCTCTGTTTATGTTCTTTATCTTTTCTTTCGTGCCACCAGTACTTTAATCGTCTCTTACTTGCTTCTATCTCGGACTTGTGAAGCTTTCTAAGGTTGTTTTGTTGTATTTTACCTTTGTTAGGCTTTACCTTGTTATTTGACTTAGTTAGGTTTTACCTTATTGAACTGACAAAAAATTTTAAATACTCTATAAAATGGTACTCGTTAGGTTGTTTTAATGAAAAACACACGGCATCAAAGACATCTCTGTGGCAGTATCCCAAGCCTGAGGTACCGAAGCTTCAAACATTTTCCACCGATAAGGCTGTGTCTATTTTTTAAGAGGAGTAATGAGAAGTTGAGTTCTAATACAAAATTCCTCGAACATGAGAAAAAGTATTGTGATATACTTTACAGTTTTCGGCAGAATCGACAGAGGGTGATATTGTCAGATCAGCCCTGTACAAGCAAAATTTCAATGGGGGGACACGACATTGAAATCTGGTGATTGTCACTTCTGATTGTCGAGAGTGGCTCCACTGCGACATCCCTGCATATTTTAGATAATTATATTCTGTCCACGTGGTTATTGCTTCAATCCTCTGTTTATGGGTAACTAATCTTCTATACCTGATTGTGGTGAAGTACTCTACCACCGGGAGAACCTTGACCGTTGAGAGATGTAGCGGTAAGCGGGCTAAAGCGTCAGCCATTTGATTATTGTTAACCCACAGGGACCGGGGACCTATAATAATTTCCGGTACTTCAGCTGAGACGCAACTAAAATTGTAGCGTCGTGATAGCACGAGAGGTATGAGAAGCTGTTAGGGCTGTGCATACCAAAAGTGAATGAGTAATTATTGCTGCACTGTCCTCACTCATCGGAAGTTTTCGCAGTGCCGCGATGTCTGCCATGAGCTCCGCTTCAAGAACCGGAGTGAAATCGGGTAGCCTCACGACAAATGACCACCCAAATGATCGGAAAACTATTCCTACGCCTGCTTTTCTTCGTTCACAGATGCATCTGTAGTTATTATGTTACGTGTCTGTGTATGCACCAAAAAATTTTCTAACTTGTTACCCAAGAATTTGCCGGATTGAAATTTACATTGTGGAGGAAATATCTCATCGTAATCTCTCATGAGCATCTGGTTTGTGTTATCAGATGCAATTACCACCGCACTTGTCGCACACACCTGCTTGCGGGTATGTGCTACGGATGATTGAGTTTCAACGTGATAGCGTGAAAGAGCTCGTAAACAGAAACGAGACAGAGCAAAAATTCCTCATCTTACGCGTGAACAAAAATTGAGAAAAATGAACAAAAATAAACAATAAAAACTTCTGCGTCCACAGAAAGATCGAGCCCGGGTCATTTAAGTGGCACGCGGGTGTTCTACAACCTAGTCATGCGTCTGCTAGTCAATTCACTGGCAATAACATCTTCTGCTTGTAAATGAAGTGAAAATTACTTTCATACTTTAGAAACGCACACAACTTCTATACATGCTTCGCGATACAACGTGGTATGCCTATGATAAAGCCGTTGCATTGTTTTAGCTCAAATGGAGGTATGCGCCTTGCGCTGAATTTGATTTAGGCTGCAGTGTGCAGGACTACCATCCTCAAGGGCACCATCGCTTCATTTGACCTTTCTGCTTTTTGCCTTGGTAATGTGTATGTTGCATTTGGCTTTGTTGCTCAACTGCAAATAACTTCTGATAAAAAATATGCCGCTGCTTAACCGATGTCATTGTGTCTATCTGTACATATATATAGCTCCATTTCGTAATAATTTCCTAAATAAATTAGCGATATCCTCCCAAAAGGAACCCCGATGGAATGCAATGCAGCAGCGATGCGCACGGACGCGATCAGCGTTTTTTACTCGCACCGTATTGGTGTCGTTGGTCTTCCGCGGCCGACGCTTGCATTTGGCTTCCCTGGCTCGAGTTTTGTCGGTGTTGCAGGCACGACAACGCCATTCTCGAACACGGTCGTTTCTGCCAAAATTGGCAACACCAGCGATGGCCGGCTTAGACCAAATCACTTCGGCACTGGTTTCGATGCGCGCATGATCTTCGCTTTCCGGCATCCTCGCCATCGCAAACAAACGAGCCGAAAGAGTGTTCACTTTGTGAGTGAAGGAGGTGGTGAAGTGAGATAGAGGTCACATTCAGCGAGTGCGTGGCAGGCGAGAAAGAGAATGACGTCCTGCCCAGTGCGACGGAATGCGTTACCTACTTGGCACTGCCCCAACACTTGTGGCGAGGAGATCGCTGTGTGGTGCGTTGGCATGGAGACACGGGCGGACAGTGTCACACAGGCTATCAAAGAGCTGCTTCATATCTAATAAAAATTACAACACAGACTACTTCCATCCATAAGCTTCTCAAGGTACTTGGGATCTGTTGAAATTTTAAACTTTTTGGGTAACTGCCACAAGCACACTGCAGAGCACCTGTCAGGTTCTACTCCTCGTATGTCAACCGTGCGGAACAGACAGGTGACACTATACGTTATACAACTACTTTTTTCGTCGCTTTCTCAGTGCGGTCTTGGCTGTGCGCTTATCTTTGGAGCACGAACGGGTTTTCTCGGATGACTAATTTCGGGCCAGTCCATTAGACAGCTCTTCTACGCTCCAGTTATGTGACCTTGCTACTCCTTTCAGGAGACAAGCTCGGGTTGAATATCGCGCTGTGCGAACGCGAGGAGAGTGATGACAGGCAAACACCTCTTGCATCACGTAACTGCCCGAGAGCGCAGCGGCGGTGAATGCGGGAAGATGGTGTAAAGGCACCAGGGCTACCACACCAACGCATCTGGAGCGTGGTATGCGAAACCGCTGTCATTTTTAGTGTGAGGTGAGAGTGTGCCTGTGGACACTTTGTGCAAAAATGTGCAAACATTATTATTATCGTCATGAGCCTGACTATGTCCACTGCAGGACAAAGGTCTCCCAACTTGGTCAACTTGGTCGTGTGCTTGCTGATGCCACTTTACACCCGCAAAATTCTTAATCTCTTCTACCCACCTAAATTTCTGTTTCCCCCAAACCTGCTTGTCTTCTTTTGAAATCCAGTCAGTTACCCATAATGACCAGCGGTTGTCCTGTCTAAACGCTACATGCCCCGCCCATATCCAGTTCCTCTTCTCGATTTCAACTATGATATCTTGAACCCCGGTCTGTTCCCTGATCCACTCAGCTCTCTTCTTATCACTTAAGGTTAGATCTACCAATTTTCTTTCCTTTGCTCGCTACGTCATCCTTAATTTAAGCTGAACCCTATTTGCAAGTCTCGAGGTTTTTGTCACATTGGTAAGTAGTGGCAGTATGCAACTGTTATATACCTTCCTCTTGAGGGATAGTGGCAATCTGCCAGTCATAATATGAGAGTGCTTGCTGAATGTGCTCCACCCTAATCTTATTATTGCAGTTACTTCAACCTTGTGGTTCAGCTCCGTGGTTATAAACTGTCTTTAGTAGACATAGTCTTCTACAACTTCAAGAGTAATATTGTCACGTAATACAAGAGGGGGAACACACACATAATGATTTATTGAGGCCAAACTTGTGCCCAGAAAGTAGCTATGACACGAAGAAGAGTCTGCTAAAAGCGTTCGGCCAACGTGTCTTTTTCTGAACAACAACTAGGTCCGTCTTCCTGCCTCGTGCTTGTGCAACAGAGGCATGCGCTACTCTGCCCAAGATGCGTGAGCACGCGTGAGGCACTGTAGACGCCCACACAGCGTCTCGTTGATTGCGAGGCACTGTAGATGCCCATATAACGTCCCGTTGGTTCTCTTCGTAAAATAATTCTTATGAGCAATCTCTGTGGCATTACTCCCCCTTCGTAATGCGCATCGTCTCGATGTGTGAAGTCAAAAGGGTAAATGTTAGGGGGTAGATGCTTAATTCTCTTTCGTGGTATGGCTTCATGCGGACAACGTGGGTGACCTCCACATGGTTTTGCCGTTTCGAGCGCTCTTGCACGTCAGGGATTACTTCATAAGTTAGGTCACTTAGCTGGCGAGGGACCTTATGTGGACCAAAGTACCGTCGAATGAGCTTTTCTGACAGGCCGCGGCGTCGTATTGCTGTCCAGATCCATACTTGATCACCTGGCTGGTACTTATTTCCTCTGCAGCGCAGGTTGTATTAGTCCGCATTCTTGAACTGTTGCTGGCGTATTTGATGCCTTGCTTACTGGCGTGCTTTTTCAACTTTCTGCAGAAATTTGTCAATGTCGGATTTCTTGTAGTGGTCATCGTCGACTGGGAGCATGGCGTCGAGAGTTGAATTGACTATGCGGCCATAGATAAGCTGAAAT